GAACTTTAGATTTTGATTTTAGTTAGTTTTAGTTAGTTATGTTTCAATAAAAATAAGTTTATTCATAATAAAATAGTTTTTAAAATTTCTAAATCTTTTAGTTAGTTATAGTTAGTTTAAGAATTTTTTAAAAGATTTAGTTAGTTATATATAGTTAGTTAACTAAAAGTAAATCTGGTCTAACTAAAAGTGTTTTAGTTTTAGTTATAGTTAACTAAAACAACAATACTGATTACGAGTGAAACTATATTGTTACTAAATATTTAATTTTGCATTTTGAAATGTTTTTCTAATAATTATTTTTGCCCTTTTGACTATTATGAGTTTTGAAAATAAAAAATCAGCATGAGGATATGAATATAATACAGGAATGTGTATAATAAACAGAGTTTGTACACATACATATTGCGTTATCGCCCAAATCCATAATAGCACATACATTAGCAGTGCAATATAAATTCTAAATTTCAATATTTCACATGTAAAGAGAAGAGCAGTCTAACTTATGATACATTAATACATAGTCTTACTAGCCAAACCATTCCCCAGCCTACACCAATGACTGTATATGGGAAGGGTCTGGCTAGCGAGACTATTACTACAAGCATTGAGGAAGATGGGAGAGAATGCTGTAGCTGATGGGATTGAAAAAGGAATAAATTTACTAATGAGGATTATTAACTAAACTTCATCATAAAAATGAAATGAGATGGTTTCACTTGAACTTTAGAAGCAACTCTCTAAGATTTATGCACATCACACATCAAATGTTGTCAAGTTGTCAATGTGAAAGCACGTGGTTTGAATATACGGTGTATATGAACGGAAGTATACCAATTGGAAATAAGAGACTTTATCTCAGACTTTATTAGATCTTTTTCTGGAGCCACTGGAGGTTAAGAATGAGTTCCATATATACTAGACGAATGTAAAACATTAAGGGGCTCAGCCCCCTAGCCGCTATATTTTAAAAGTTATATAGAGCTACATTATTGTACATGTACATGAGTAAATACAGTAGTTTGTAATGAAGTCATCATGCTTGGAAATACAAATTTTCTTTATCAGTTTATCACATTCTGCAGCAAAAAAGTTGTGTTGGAAGCCAGAGACAGTAACTGCAGTCATAGGTTATGTCAGTAGTTGTGGAGGCTTTATAAGCTCACAACTTTGGCATATCTGCCTTCTTAATCTTCCTTGTTGTATTTGGAAAGTAGTAGAGACTTCTCTTGCATTCCGCTTGCTGACTCAAGTGAGTGACTTGTAACTTGTAAGGTCAAGAACATGAACTGAGAACAATGAAGAATTGATAGCAGGTACTATTAAAGACCACACCGGCTGGGTGATATTGATATTGAACTGTGGTCCAAAGAGGCTCCTCTGGCCTGTCGTAACTTCATACAATTGTGTTTAGAAGATTATTATAATGATACCATATTCCACAGAGTCG